GTATAATAAAAAGATGGAAAAACAAAGATAATATTTTGTAAAAATACATCCATACCATAAATATGGATCATATCTTTGCAGGCTACACAACGTCACATGACTTCTCTCTTGCCGATGTCGCTGCATATGACATAGACAATGCTATCCATGAGTTTTCAATAAACAAAAACAAAAAAGATGAGTTAGATTGTTATATATATGTATATATTTCAACAGATAAGATAATAAACAATACACAACAAATGACATGTTTCGGATGAACATGCCGAATAATTAAGAACAATAAAATACAATTGCAAAACAAAAAGACGAAAGAACAAATGTTAGGCAAGTACCGTGGTTTGATGTGATTATAACAAAACGTGTGAAGGAAGAATGAGATGAATGAGTTAGGATCAAGAGTATTTATACTTAACTTTAACATCTTAAATAAGTTAATGAAAGGATATTAAGGAAACTGTATTTGTTGTAATAATTGATGAAAGTAGATCATGAAATTATATGGTTAATATTTGACCAAAATTATCGTCTTGAATAAATATAATATTCTTATATGGTTTATTTTATTTGCCATATTTATTGTATTACAGTTTACGTTATTATACATTTATTTACCATAGTGTTCAATTACATTAAATTTCATTTTGTGGATTTAGTTAATTACCATTTCAGCACACACACAAAATCCGTACGTAAAACATAAAGTCAAACATATACAAAATTAATTGAACAAATCAAATCAAGTGATTAAAATCATCCTCAACAACCTGTGTGTACACACACACACACACACATATATATATATATATATATATATATATATATATAATCACATTTCAATTTTTTATTACAATATTTCGTACTCGATATTTATAATTAGTTGAAAAATATTTATAATTTGTAAATTTAAAAAGATTAGAAAATATTAATGTAACGAATTATATTAAACTAACTAATTATATTGCCATAATATTAGTTTCTAAATTATGGCAAATTTTATAAGGAAATGTTTTAATTTTTTAGTAATTTTGGAAATATGTATTAAAAATGTTACCAAATAATGAAGATTTACAATTAATGAGGACTTTGTATGTTTATAAAGTATATGGAATAATTAATTCCACGTAAGATATGAGTAGGATGCCACATAGATATGCCACATGTCGATTTCTTAAGCTATGAGGGTTTCAATTTATATATTATATAGATAAGGTTTGTCACCAGGGACTTGTATCTTAAGACCCCTAAATTTAAATGTAGTATTTAAATTTTTCGTGTTTTACACTTTTTCAAATTATCCGAAATTGGATCCAAAGTCTTCCCTCCTACATTATGCCAAAAAAAAAAATCACCTACAAAAAAAAAGGAGAAAAAAAATGTTAATTTTTCGTCAACTCAAAACAACAATAAAATATAACGAATTATCTCTCTTTTCATCATCGTGGATTGAAGTAGACTCCCCATTAGATAGTGAAATTAAAAGGAATTCTCCTGCATTTTCTCTCGTCTTTTTTTCTAACCATAAAAATGAGGGTAAAATAGTCATTCCCATGTTATTCAAATTCTTCAATTAAAATGCAATTTAAGATTTTGGTACTTTTTAAAATTTAAATTATTTTTTGTGAATATATTTAAATATGCAACAAATTAATGGAATAAAAAGGAAAATGAATATGATAATTTGAGATATGATCCCAAATTGATATATTGCGTGGGAAGTACTTTTGGTGGTTTGGTCACATAACAAATTTATTATATTGGAAATGACGTGCCCAAATTTTTCTTCAATTCTTTTTGGTTAGTATAACTTATAACCAAATTAACAATTTCTTGGCAAATGAAGTTTTCTCATGGATGGAAAGCTCGTCACTTAAGTTACAAATAGTGGGATATTTTTTTGGGTCAATTGCGTCATTTAATGCTGACGATACGGTGTTTAGCTAATCTTATAAGCTGTTAAAAGGAGCTTATAAACTCTTTCAAAGTGTTTGGTGATTTTTTTTATAAAAAATCTAAACAATAAGCTACTAAAGAGCAAATACGATATTTACAAAAAAAATATCTCTACCCGATATTTTTATTTAAAATCTTATAATTAGTAAAAAAAATTGTAAATTCACTATCCAAACACTTTAAAAGTTCATTCTAAAAATAGGACGTAATAACTTATCAGATGTAAGAGCCTATCAGCTATAGAAAATAACCTTAGTAAAAAACGGGCTAAGAAAATATATATATATATACACCCCATCTTTTTTATTTAAAATCTTAAAAACTTTAAAAACGACGTATATATTAACCAACCACTTCAAAAATTGATTTAAATAATAAGACTTAACAACTTACCAGCTCTTGAAACGACTTATTCAAATGTAACGATTTATCAACTATTTAAAATAAGTTTAGACAAACGGGATGTTATATTACTTATATAGTTTATTTCACCATAACCTTTAATTTGATAGGCAAATAAATACATATATGTTATGCTAATAAAAATAATACGAGAACTTTTTTAATAATTCATAATACAAGGAGTTTACAATTACATTATAAAAATTAAAAAATAAATAAATAAATCCAATTTTGGTTATAACATTGATTACACATAACCTGCATGCATGCTTGCCTACACATAAGCGGCAGTAACTAAAAGAAAATGTAAAATAGTAATATAGTTTATTTATTTCTTATTTAATTTGTATGTAAAATTGTATATGGGTACGAATTGAATGACGGTTTATACTATGCTACATCTGGTGAAATACATTGGGTAAATTTTTACCATTCATATACATATAAAATACACACATATAAAATTTAGTTGAATCTTGAAATAAAATCTATATACTAAATAAAATAAAGATGAATTAAAATAGTATAAAGTTTTTTTACAAGTATGATATACTATAAATTAATAGATTGTCTCTATAGTATACTTTGATCACCAACAAATATTCACATGTGCATGTTATAATGAACAAAATATCTGATTTCATGATATGTATATATACCAAAACAATAAACAATTTTTATTAATGATTTTTATTTAGTTGACACTTGAAGAAATTGTTCCATGTGCAACAATTATGTACTTAAATTTCCCTCAACAAATGTTTACATTAGAAATCAGATCTGTCACATTAGCTAAAATTAATTGGTGGTCAAATTGGCTCTTAGGTGGTGTTTGCAAAAAATTTTAGAAATAAATTATGAGCTTTTATTTGCTCATAATCTAATTTTAGAAGTTTGCAATACAAACTTTTGCTTTTGTTCTCTTGATTTAAGTTGTTTTAAGCTATAATTTCAAAAGTACCTATGTGTTTGCTTTTTCTATTTCAGTTGATTTTTCAGTTAATTTGTAAATACCACAAGTTTTAAAAATAAACACTTAATTCCAACTTAACTCATAATCACAAATTTATATTTTTAAACACCACCTTATTCGCATATTGGTTGGAAGGATAAAGGAGGAAATAAATGAAATAATTGCTTAAATGGACTTTTATTTTAATATATTTTATGTTGGGGAAATTACAGTTTTTACCCCTCAAGTTTGCAATGATCACGTAGTTAGTCTCTCATACTGATTAAAAAAACACATTTGGTTCCTCATATTTCAATAATTTAAACATTTGGTCATTTTCGTCAATTTATAGTTAGTTTGCTAGTTAAGGCAGTGATACGCTTTAATCCGTTAATTTTATCGAAAAAATAACAGAATGACTAAAAATATTGAATTTTTGAAACATTAGGATGAAAATTGTATTTTTCCCATTTTCTGTTGGAATAACTTATTGAACGTCGTCTACTATAATTGTCTAAAATTTTTATTCCATCGTCATCACAAATTAATATATTTTCTGTAACAATATATAAATTCTTCCCCATTTTTCAATTTTCAGAAATATATTAAGGTATTAGCATCTTGTGATGTTTTCCTGTAAATGTGGTCTAATTATGATTAGGATAGTTACTCATATTTAGCCAACATATAACAATTCAATATTTCCTCCAATGATGGTATACTCATTTGTGGATGTAATTTGTTTAATAAGGTCAAAATTATGTTGCACCCTTTTTTTGGAAATGGGACATTTTAATTACTGAAATGTTAAATATCGTTTCAATTTTATTAATATTGTTTTGACTTTGAACAAGATTTTGATTCTCTTCTATTTTGATTTTAGCAAAATGTAAAATACGGAAGTTGTAGTCCTTTGAGTTAATTTTCTAATCCAATTTGAATTAGCTAGATTGAATGATGAGTGACAAAGATATGCATGAATTAGTTACATTCTGAATTTTAGATAACTCAAAATATCAAAGTTGAAGACAATGTTCACTGATTTATTCGTATCTTTCTCACATTACTTCCAATCTTGGTGATTCAAATTCGATTAGAAACGGTTCTTAAAAAATAAATAAATTAGAAACCTAACTGAAATAACTACAAATTTTGTGTTTTTGAGTTTGGCTAAATTCAAACTCCAAAATGGTAAAAATCATCTTTAAGCTGTTAAAACGGTCTTATTAAAAATGAAACGACCTTTATCACATCCAATTCAATTATTAATAAAAATGTTAATTAATTAATAACCCATTTTCATACTTAACAAAATAACAAAAGTTTTTTTTTTTTTTTTTTCTAATATTCCACTTCAAATTAAAAGGGGTTTAATTAATTAAAATTAAATTCACGTGTTTAAAAAATATAATTGTTACGTGTATAGTAGTAGATTCCCATTGATTCAAGAACTGATTTTTTCGTGTAGAAATAGCTCTCTATTTCCTTCGAAGGAAAAAAATAAAAACACACATACACAATATGCATGTGCACGTGTATATAGTAGCATATATATATGTGCAGAAGAATGAATTAAAAGAAAAGAAGCACACAAAATATATATACATGCATATATATATCAATATATGTATATGTATATATATCATTATTATTACCATCACCATATATATAGCTAGGTAGGAACACAAACATATATAAACCTAGTACGGATCGAAAAAAAAAAAGATGGATCCAAAGTTAGTGAAGAAAGTAAAGCCGTATTTGGCTATAGTTTTCATGCAGTTTGGGTATGCTGGTTTTGCCATTATTGCAAAGACTGCTCTTGACCAGGGTATGAGCAATTACACTCTCTCTATTTACAGAAATGCCATTGCCACTCTCGTTGTTGCCCCCTTTGCCTTGCTTCTTGAGAGGTACGTACTCTCTCTCTCTCTCTCTCTCTCTCTCTCTCTCTCTCTCTCTCTGTATGTGTGTGTGAAATTTGAAGAGAGAGTTTGTTTTTTAACAGGAAAATCAGACCAAAAATGACTGTCTCTGTTCTTTGGAAAATAGCCCTACTTGCCTTCTTGGAGTAACTACTCTCTCTCTCTCTCTCTCTCTCTCTCTCTCTCTCTCTCTCTCTCTCTCTCTCTAGATATGTTTCTCTCTCTAGAGATTATTGTAATGAATGAATATGTACGGACAGGCCAGTAATAGATCAGAACTTGTACTACATGGGAATGAAACATACAACAGCCACCTTTTCAACTGCCATGTGCAATATTCTTCCTGCCATCACCTTTTTATTAGCCTGGGCTCTAAGGTACTACTATACATACAAACTCTTCCTATATTGGTGTTCTATATATATTACACATTTCTCATTTAAAAGAACTAGTAACTTTATTTTTTTTGAAATTACACAAACACTCGAAAAATCGAAAGGAACAAAAAAAACAAGTACTAGACTTACGAAAACGATTAGATGGTCATTATATTCAATATGATAAAAAAAAAGTAAAATCATGCGGTTATTTTTGTAATATTACAAGGCTCGAAAAAGTGAACGTTAGAAGAGCACACGGATACGCAAAGATTTTGGGAACTTTTGCAACGCTTGGCGGTGCAATGATTATGACACTCGTGCAAGGCTCTATTATCGGGCTGCCTTGGACGAAAATCGAACCGAATTCCGAATCAGCCGATGGTGTAGTAATAACCACCCAAGATCCAGTCAAAGGTGCTCTCATGATCACTGTTGGTTGTTTCTGTTGCTCCATTTTCTACATTCTCCAGGTAATTAATTAATTATTTATCTATCTATATAATATTTTTTTTATAATTATTATTTATTTTATTTGGTTAAAAAACATTTATAGGCGATCACGATGAAATCGTACGCGGCCCCACTTTCGCTGACCTGTCTGATATGCATGGCCGGAATGTTGCAAGGGATTGTGCTAACGCTTGCAGTCGAGAGGGGCAACTTTTCGATCTGGTCTATAGGATGGGATACGAAACTTTTAGCTTATACTTACAGCGTAAGATTAACGAATTAATATATTTATATATACTTCTTTAACGACACAAATTTATTTATTTTTATCTTAAAAAATGTTTTTTTTTACACTACAGGGTGTAATCTGTTCTGGAGTTTCGTACTATGTTTCAGGGATTGTAATGAACGAAAAAGGGCCAGTTTTCGTCACTTCATTTAATCCTCTGAATATGGTTATTGTTGCAGTCTTGAGCTCTTTCATTTTTGCCGAGCAATTGAACATCGGAAAGTAATAATTTTTTTTTCTTCTAATTATTGATTACAATCTCGATTTATTATATAAGAATTTTATATTAATGATAAAAAGAACTGCTGCAAAATTTGCAGGGTAATCGGAGCTACGGTGATTGTATTCGGGTTGTATCTAGTCATATGGGGGAAGACGCAAGATCAGAGAGAAACAGCAATTATTGATCAAGAAACAAATCATTCTCCAAACGGCGTCTAGGGGGAAACAATTTTTTGTCACATAATAGCTCTACGAAAAATAAAATGATTTCGAAAATATAAATAAAAGTCGAACGAACATTAGCCATGTCGATAGAGTGATACTGCTAATATCTCTACCAGCATTTAAAAAAAAACAGTATGAGTTTTCTATTTCACTTTACATGAGTGAAATATCATCTAGTTTAAACAGCATATATATATATATATATATATATATATATATATATATATATATATATATATAGAGTTGGAGTCAAATATTGTATATTTCAGATTATAATCCAACTACAGTAGACTAGTTTTACTTTAATTTCAATATCATGCAGCACAGTTAGGATTTAAGATCACAATAATAAACAGACATGCTATATTGAAGAAAGACGAAACGGAAATGTTTAAACGAGTTTTTTTCGCATCAAATATTACAACAACAAATCTAAAATGTTCCGAAAATAAATTGTTTCCTATTGTCAATCTCCTCCACTAGCTAAGTGAACAGCAGTTATCATATCAACCAACCTCGATGCAGAGATGAAGATATCAAGATTGTACGACCATTTCGTCTTTCCCGTAAATGCGTTGAAGTTCACGGCTTGCAGCTTTATACGATGCTGTGAATGAAAATAAATCAACAAAAAGAAGAAAAAAATAGTCAGAGAATAACGATTAAAGAAATTAACGTATCGATGTTTATCATTAGAAGAAAAAAAGATGAACTCACATTTCCAAGTGTCGAAATTTTTCTGATCGATGGGAGATCCTGTGATATTTTGCATCACTTCGAAGAGCCTTTCTTGAGGTGTACTCTTCAGTTCTTGGACCACTGCGTAGATTGTCTTCCCATTCTCAAAGTAGATATGGTTATTTGGGTGTTTAGTCTTACAACCGGCGTGGCGCTCAAACTCATAAGCATTAATAGCCTGCACAAAACATCAACAAACGATTAGCAGGGCTTGTTGTTTTTTTTATTTTATTATTTTTTTTTTGAGAAAAAGCAGGGCTAGTTTATACAGCCTTCATTGCTAGGAAAACTACAAATGACAAACATCGAAAAACGATCACCTTAGTAAGCTTGCAATCCTGGCAGCTACACAAGTAACCAGTCCCTTTTACCACTCCTCTAAGATTTTTCTGCAAGTACAAATATTCCTTGATGAAAATATAAACCTCAAATAAAATGGGAAAAAAAAAAACAAAAATTCCGACTTTACCTCTCTTGACCAAGAAACATATTTCACTGGAACACCATCAAGAATGCCAGTGGATAATAAGCTTTTAACGTTTGTAGGGAAGTTATTCGACAACCCCTTTTTCGTCTTCTGCTCCTTATTCTTGATCTGTGCCCCATCGGTTTTCGAAGTGGCTGCTGTGACAACATTTGCACTAAGCTGCAGTGCGGATTCGTTCTGTCCTGTTGACTGGTTGGCCAAAAGATCATAGTTGCTTATGAGCCTGCCAGAGAGATCTCTCTCCTCATGGCTATCTTCAACACCTCCAAAAGATATTGTAGCTTCTTCACCGTTCTTGGAATTTGCAACCATTGATAGAAGACCCGAATTCTCTTTGTTGTAGAGAGAACCTAACGAAACAATAGGGGCATCGTGCTGAATATTATTGTTGTTATTATAAGTAGAACCTGCAGTCATGAATGTCTCGTTTAATCTATTGCAAAAGGGTTCCACCGCAAAGAAATTATCGTGGCCCTTGCTTCCATAATTTGGACTAATTGCTACGAAATTGCAGCTTGCTTCCTTTTCATATTGCACAGTATGGGTACTACTGTAATTTCCTCCGTTAAAGCCAATAGATAGCAAATTGTTATCTATCCCATTGTAGTACTGATTAGTAAGCATAAAATTGGCGTCGGTGTTGTTAGTAGGTTCGGAATACATGTTACTACCACTTCTCTGAAACATGGTATTTCCCATAAACTCGGGAAAGCAGTTGTCTGGGATCGTTACTTCGTTGACTTTCACTTTTCTAAGTCCAGTGTTGAGGGACAAGGGATCTTCCAACCGGACAGGCTTGGGGGCGAATAATCGGTCACCTGTTTGACCTTCAGACTGAGAATTTGACCCGTCACGCCAAAAACCGTCCACAGTAACAGGTTCCGTAACTTCTCTAGTAGATTCTACTGCTTGTTTCTTGTTTGTAAATAGCTCTTGCTCGGACGGACCGGTAAACCACTGATGACTACGTTTTTGATCGATTCTTGTCGTAGAGTCGTAACACATCTCTCCATTGGCTAGAGAACCGGAGCTGTTAGTCAACCAAATGCCGTTGTTCTGAAAAGACTGGCAAAGTATCAAGTGAGCCTTATATTTTCCTAATTGACTAATATACCGTTGTGATTTGCATACGAACATACAGGCCAAACATAATTCTACAAGGTTTTTCTCGTGATTCCTATTCTCTATAGTAGCAGTAGTATATAAGTTGTTTCTGAAAGACGCCGTTCATAAATTGTTCTGCATTAAGGGAATTTAAACACCCTCGTTAGCTATCATGTCATTTCCTTAGTTGTAATAAATCTCGATAGGGACATCAACTCACTGCTAACATTAATGATAAGAAAAAAGATAGTGTTCGAGAATCGGTATTCTAATATGCATCGAAAATTTAAATTAAGCAAATCCTAAAGAATCTTTTGCAAGATATAATCATGTTGAAAATATCATTTCTCGTTGATAATGTTACTTAAGCATTAAAGCTTGCTTATAATTCCCCTATCTTTAGCTCAAACAAAATGACTAAATTGCAATTAGACATATTCACAACAGCGCTTATCGATCAAACGGACAAATAATTGAGTTTTTCTCGTGTGGACACAATCGTGACATACTTTTTCCGACAGCATTTAAGTGGCAAACACGTGTATTACCTATTGGCACAATAACTATTCTTGAAAAAGGCAATTTTTTATTTACATAAAGATCTACGTCTACGTAAAGATATATATGCATGCACGCACAAACACGTGCACGGACACACATGTATGTTTTATCAGTTATATTACATCGATCGGGATATAAGTAATTCATTGGGTACCAAACTACCAACGTAGAAAATGTCTAAAACGGAACTTCACAGGAGCATACTGGTATAGAAAAGCTCAGATAAATTCAATCACAAGAGCAAACCTTGTTCAACCTTTTCAATTTCAGCACTATAGCTTACGTTACACGCTTATAAACACATGGTTACATAAAACACAGTAAAAAGGAGAGAGAAACAAAGTGAATAACATTAAGTGAATCTGCAGAAAACATTTTCAGCAATCAATTGTAGACTAGTTATACCTCATGACTACGAACAAAGATCAACTTCAGTAACCAATCAAAATTACGAAACCATAGATTCTCACACAGCACAAGAAAAGCCCAACGAGTCACACAAATCCCTCAAACGATTAAACGAAACAAAAAAAAACAATTACATCAATTTTACTAAAAGTCAGAGTCGTGAACATACCATTTTACACGTTTATCTTCGAAAGGAGAAATCACGGATCATAAAATTGAAGTCCCTCCACATACATTCATCGTCCTTCCTCGTATCATCTCCGGCTATCATGCAACAACAACATCAGTTAATCAGAAAACGTAAATGCTTAATTCAAACATCGAACACGAAACGAAACCCAATTAAAGATCAAATCAACCAAACTTCCATAAATAAACATCTGATTTCAACCTAGAAAACTCAGTTACATCCAATAGCCTCTCTAAACCCTCCAATAAAAAATCAATTATTCAAAAAAAAAAAATTAAAATCAAAACATAATCCGCGGAAACAAGTTTAAACATCTACATGCAATCAATGAACAATGAGATTGAAATCAGACGGAATGATCAAAAAAATAGAGTTCATAACCCTAAAGGAGAAATGCGGAGCAGCACTTGGAATATAAAAATAGTATTAATTCTTAATTCACTTTTTTTTTTTGCTTGTGTGAAGAGTACTTTTACCTCCACCTGAGTTCCAATCTCAACTGATCGCCGGCCAGTTTTTCCGGCGAAGCCAAGCCGGAGAATAAAAACGAAACGTCTCTCGGGTTTTGTTTTAAACAGCAATATTTTATTATTATATTTTCCCCGAAAAATACGACACTGTTTGCTCGGAGAAAATGAGCGAGGTTTTAAACTGAGACGATGGATTCAGTGCGACGCGGGCGCACCGTAAGCACCAGCTGCTTTTTGTCCACGTGGCACAGCATTCTATAATCGACGGCCGCAAATCGTTCAGGTCCTGAAGGCGGGAATAATCCAGTACTTATGCACCCACCACCAGATATTGTAACAGCCAATCACTTTCCGCCACGTGTGAGATTGTGGAAATCGCACGGTGTAGCCGGCGCGTGGGGTTAATTTTATAAATTTTCTTAATCTTGTGATGAAAATCAGAGTGTAGAGATTAACCATTTTGACAGATAAGAATGAATTAAATGAGACTTAAAAATGAAGATGTAATAAGATTTTGAGGTAATTGTCACCTGATTTACTGAATATATAAAGCGAAATCGAAGGGGATAAGTCACATTAATTAGTGGTAGGTAATGAGAGATTAAAAAAGTCAAATTATAATAATGTAGTTTTGAACTGTTTATAAAAAGAATAATTTGTTTCAGATTTTGTGATGTAAAGGTAATTTGAGGAGCTTATTAAAGGTAAGTGATAATCAAGAAAATGATCAATGATGAATAGAAAAAACAGCTATGCACTAGAAAATTTGAGTATTCAATTTTGGTTAATATCTTGTATGTTGTTAGACTGAAATGTCCTTGCCGTTAATTAATAAGAGTAGGAGTGTAAATCGGACGGATCGGATCAGAATAAGCTCTTTCGGAGAAAAAAAATCCAATTTTTTTGGAAGTGAAAAACTAGTTCCAATGAATTCTAAAAAAAATTGGAATCGGAATTTCGAAAGTTGGAATGAAAAAACTTATTCCAAAATCGAATTTTTTTGGATTGGGATCGGCCGAATTTGGAATTTCTATTTTTTGGTCACCTAAAGTATAAAATGCAGAATAATATTGGTATATTAAGTGTAGTATTCATAATTTTTTTTTGAATTTTTCGGAACTTAAAAGCGGATCGGAAATCGAAATTAATCTCATACATATTCTAATTTCAATCCAAATAATTTCAGAACTATCGGAACTCGGAATTTCGAAATTTGGATTGAAAAACATTGTTCCAAAATCGCAAATTTTCGGATTTGAATAGGCAGAAACCGGAAATTTCATTCCAGTTTTCACCGCTAAATAAGAGAGAGTATTAGAGAGAGAGAGAGGTAATAAGAGTAAAATTGACAATTAATATTGTATTTGTATTCTAAAGTGACAGACAATGTAGCATGGACACTATGCGGACATGGAGAAACAGGGAAATGGATACGGGGAAACCCCGCTTTCCAAAAAGTTGGATACGGGAACGTGGGGAAACACGTAAATAACAAGAATATAGGGGTGCATTCATAATTTCTAAAAAATATTATAATGTTTAATATCATTCCACAAATACATTCGGGGCATATAAATTTATTTTAGTATGGAATTAACCTCTAGAAAAATATTAAAGCACCACAAGAAGTGAAAATGAGACATAATAGTTAAGATTTTTTTAAGCGTATGCAGTTCGGAGGTTTTTTTTTTTTTTATGAAATTTGGATTCATTTTGTTTGGAAACGTGTTTTCAATTTTTCATTATTATCAGAAACGTCCCCCGAAACTTTTAAATATTTATGGAAACAGACACAAAATATTTCCGACATGTATCATGAAATTTCGGTTTCCAAAATGTGGAAACGCGTGTGAGTTGAAATTTTCATGCATCATAGATGATACAAATATTTTTTTATATTGCGGTATGGAACAAAAACAATTCTGAAAAAATGACATATATTACGGAATTGAGGGAGTATCAAATATTTGCTCATAGTACTAAAGTTGTTTGAGAGACAATGTGCATAAATTTTGAAATTAATTTTATATTTTTAATTTCTTAGGGTTGAAATGTATTTAGTAAATTTTCTTGAATTTGGATTACAGAAAATTCAAATGAAAGTAATTTTTCGATAATATGTGCACCTAATATATTAGGTTTAGTATAGGTAAGGCCACATTTTAGGGGCTTGAGTTGGCAGCTCACGAGCCCGTATATTCGACCCTTAGAAGCTTGAGTTCGACTATAGTTTGGAACTCAACAGTTCCAGGTAGACACGGCCCCGGGTCGGGTCCGGGTCCGAGTTTTGGAGGACCCGAAACCGACCCGTGGGGAGGCGGGTCCGGGTCCGGGGCGGGTCCACTCGGGTCCGGGTCGGTTCCGGGCCGGGACGGGTCCGAACCGAATTTTTAAACTTTGTCCAAAATATGCTTTGTATGGGGTTCAAACTCTCGTTCCCTTCAAATGTGTATGCCAATCCAAACCAGTGAGACAAGACAATTGTTTGTGAAATTACTTGCAAGAAATATATATATAACAATAACAGATAGTGTAAAATGATTATAAAAATAATGTTTAATGGATTATTAATTATCATATTCATAATTATTAAAGAATTTTAATTAAATTATTAACAAATATAATATAATAAAAAAATTAAAATAAATTGAAAGAACTTGAGCTTAATCCATTTAAATCTTACGATTCGATTCTAATATTTGAATAAAATGTATATGTAAAAAAAGGATTAAATCATATGATCTACAATTTAATTCTTACGATTTTTTCAAATTAAACCAATTATTAAAAGAGAAATTACATCATAATATTTTGAATATAGTAGTCATATATAATATTATTTTTAAAGTAAGAAAATTAATTGAATTGAGATATAATCTATTTTTGTTAAAATAAACAACATTTATATTTTTAAATAATTATCTTATGATAAAATACTCAATAATATTAATAAGTTCTTGTCAACAATTGAGGTTAATCGATTTAAATTCATTGAAATGAGTTATAATCTATTTTTTTTAAATAAACATCTTATTTTATTTTTCATTCGATTTTTTCACACTGTCGATTTTAATAACAAAAGTGAGTTTGTATTAAGTCTACGCATTTGATTAAATATTGAATTGATTCAATCCTATATATTTTTCAATAGTGGAGATTATATTGATATAGTAATTAATAATGGATGTTTTGAAGTATTGAACCGTGATTATATATATATATATATATATATATATATATATATATATATATATATATATATATTTAAAGTTTTCATTTGCTAATAATTTAATTAAACTTATTTACTAATAATTAATATGAAAATTAATAATTTATTTAATATATTTATATGCCAATTAAATCATTTTACCGGATTGTTATATTATATATATTTATTGCTTATATATTATTTGACGTGCGTTTGGCCCAGTGGAAAGATGTGCCCATTCTTTTCAATTTGCCCCGAGTTCGAAACTTATCTCACCTATTTTTGAATAAAAAAGCTGTTTTAACACTCGGTTCCCGGGTCGGTCCCACGGGTAGACCCGTCGGGTATCGGGTCTCGTGGCCGTGTCTAGTTCCAGGCTGTTTTAACACTCGGTTCCCGGGTCGGGTCCCACGGGTAGACCCGTCGGGTATCGGGTCTCGTGGCCGTGTCTAGTTCCAGGTTGGTTCACGGTTCGTTTCAGTCGATGGTTAACCACAAATTTAGGCAATTTTATGATATTTTATTTTAAATATGATTCACGGTCCGTTGTAAATATCGTCGTTATAAATTAGAATATAGTCATCGTAAATGTAGCCGTTGAAATATACAAATATGACCTTGAAATGTAGCCATTTAACATTTAAATTTCATTCTTTTATAAAATAAAATTTATTTGATATAAATAAAATATAGATAATAGTTTATTATTCAATAAATAAATATATTTAATATTTTTTTATACATTTTAAAAAAAATAGTAAAATATAATAGTTAACTAAAATTTAAAGAATGCTGCTGGAGAGCTAAATTATATTATTGTACAACACAATATTAAATATTAATAGAAGAATCGTTTTGTAAACACATTTACCCTCTTTTTTTTTTTTTTTTTTTTTTTTTTTTTTAATAATTCTAAAATTTATCACAAGAAATCTTCATCAACCTCCATCTGGAACTCGAATTCGTCCGGCTCAACATCCGCAAGATTCTTCAAATCAACCACGGTGATCTCATCGAGCCGCCTCACCACCACATCCGCCGCCCCAAGCTCGTACACCGCTTGACAGCTGGCGACCGCGACACATCTCATCCGTGCATCTCGAGCCGCCTCAACCGTCCGATTCGAGTTCCCGAACACCACGCACCTCTCGGGCGCGAAACCCATGACCCGACCCGCGTACACAAACATCTCTGGGTCGGGTTTCCCCCTACTAAAATCCTCCCCCGCCACAACCACACTAAAGACCCGGTCGAGCCCGATAGCCCGAATACCCGCCTCGAGGTACTTTCTCGGTCGGGTCGAAACCAAACCCATCGGCACGTTGTGGCGGGCCAAACTGTTCACTAGCTCCTCCGAACCGGGTCGGAACGTATAAACCGGGCCGTGCAGAGATCGGTAAATCTCCTCCTTCCTAATCGACATTCTCTTCGTTTCCCGTGGGTCCCTCGACCAACAAAGAGCCTCCGATATCACTTGCTCGTTCTTCATACCTTCTATTCTACGAAGAACGAAACCTTGTGGAGGAGTTTTTCCTTCTTCTCGAGATAAAATCGACCAACATTGGTTTTCAAGATTAGGGTTATATTCGATTAACACTCCTTCTAGCTCGAATATTGCACCTACCAACCCACAACCAATTCTTTCGAGATAATCGGCCCTTTTACGACTCGAATACGCCCTTTTGTTCAACTCTATTGCCCTCGATTTTACCGAAGGGATAATTGGCCATCTTCCTATAGAAGTTGAAAGATATGAAGGGCTATTCTTGTTTAAGACATTCTTGAAATAATAACTTCCATAAATCGGTTGGTGCCCTAAAATGGAAGGTGCAGCAATTGATTGCACCATTCTTTTATCTATATATCTATCTATAAAATCAAGAACTACAGAAACAGGGCAGCCCTAATTTTGGTTTTTTTCTTATTCTAAGAGATAATTATTCTTACTCCACAAAACACTCTTTAGCAGAATCCGAGGAGGTTTTCCAGAAACACACGGCAGAATATTCTGCTAGTTAAATTTAATTACTTAAACCACTATTTGGGGACTGAAATAACAAGAGTTAAAGATCGTATTTTTATTGAAAACCCATCAAAATTCAGCACCCAAATTCCAATAATTAAGCAGCCAATCAGCAACAAAATCGAAGAAGCAAGAATATCAATCAAAGAGAAGTTCAATCTCTCTCTCTCTCTCTCTCTCTCTCTCTCTCTCTCTCTCTCAATACACGCAAATACCCACCTAATTTTAGAGAGAGAAACGAAAACAACGTCAGTGGTCTCTGCTCTTTGGGGGAAAAGGGCTTCCTGGGGAAAACCGAACTGATTTCTTTTTAGGGTTAAATACAATTACGCCCCTATATTATCATCAGTATCGCATGTACCCCATGTATTACAAAGTGCGACAAATTGACCCTTCAATTTGACGGTCAACTCTCAAATCTCTTACACCGTTAATTTATGTAACGTAGTTACCTTTTTACCCTTACATTTATATGATATGAATATGCATCTTTTGACTTTATTATTTGACCATTTTTTTTTTACGTTAACACTCCGGTGGCATTGAGTTAATATTGCTGTCTATAAATTATGATAATAACAAAATTAAGTTAAAATTATATGAAAAGTTATACTAAATTAATAAAATAGTAACATCAGTTATAGACTTTAACTTTTAAAAAAAGCTTGAGTATGTAAGAATCAAGCCATCGGAGTATTTTAATTTTCTCAATTTTACTATTTAGCCCCTACTATTTTAGTCAACAAAATGTAATCGAGAACTTAGATTAGATAGTATGTAGAGCAATTTGAGTTAGGATTTAAGTCAATAAAATTTAATAGAGAACTTACTTTAGATAGTATGTGGAGTAATTTAAGTTAGTACTTATTTTTCCTTTTTAAAAAAAATAAAAAAAAAAATTAAAAACCCCAACAATAAACCATACCAATATCTTTTAGGAAAATTGTAATGTTGGTCTGTTTAGGGATTTAGTCCTATAAGTTATTTTGTTTCAATTTTACATGCAATAATTAATTATGCAAAATTAATATTTTTAGTCCTGCTTCACTCGAACTTTGAATTTTAGCCGTCGTTTAATAATGTACCTAACAAACTCGCAGAAATTTATTTATATGGACACCTAAAAATTATAAATGCTCCTCTAATTTGGTTTATAAATGTGTCGTCTCACATAATTAAAGTTCTACCAATGGTAAATTAGATGTCGAATTTATCATTTTCTAAGCGTCCATATAATTAAAATGCGTCAAGTTTATTTGTCGCGTCATAAAATAAAAAGTCATGCAAAATAGGACTAAAAATACTATATTTGCTAAGTTATTGCATGTAAAACTGAAACATGACAAGGTAGATGGCTAAATTTCTAAATAGGGCAACATAGAGGACCAAAACTGCAATTTTCCCAATATCTTTTGGCTCGTTTAAGAAATATTCCAAAACTACCCTCCGTCACACTCACAGCCCCATATAAAAGCGTAAACCTCACGTCTGGCATTGGCGCGTTATTTCTACCAAACCAAAAATAACACAGCACACACACACACCTGAGAGTGAGAGGGGGAGAAATATGGTGAATCGTCGTTTTGCTCAGGCGCCGACCAGTGACGACGAGGACGATTCGCCGCCACCGCTGCCGCCGCCGCGTCGCAGCCCAACCCGCGACGGAAACCTAGGGAAAAGGAAGCGCAAATTGGTACGCTTCTCGGACGAGGACGAAGATGAGAAAGATATTGTGGAAGCGAAAGTGACCGAGCAGAAGAATAAGAAGAATAAGAAGAACAAAAAGAGCAGCGAGGAATCCGATCCGGAATCGGGGAGCGAGAATGAGGAGCAGGAGGATACGCCGGCGCAGCCCTTGGGTTCGGTGATTAGGGTTTCGGGCAAAGGCAGAGGGAGGAAGAATCATTACGAATCATTCGAGTACAACGGCAATCAGTATTCGCTCGTGAGTTTTAATCTCAGTGATTACTATGATTTTTCGACTTAGTTCATCTTTTCCCCCAATTGATTTCAAAGTGTTTATTTCCCCCAATTGATTTCAAAGTGTTTATTTTCCGCCAATTGATAATGGAATGTCGGATCGATGATAAGAAAATGTTGGATTGAACTTGTTTGCATTTCAATTTTTTTTATATATATAGGTTTTGATTTGCTCTTGTGCAAGTATGTAAATTGGAATTGAAGAATAATGTGTTTGATTTATAGTACAAATATGTCAATTGGAAATAAGGATCACAACGGACGGACAATGCAAGTGCGAAGTTTATTAATCCCTCCAATTTTATTATTTGTTTAGTACCCTTGTATCTATGAGCTAGGTCTCGTTTGGTTGGGAGATTAGCCATTATTAACTAAATACCTGGACTTTGTTTGATGTTTCGTATTCCCAATAACTTGCTGGGTCGACCCGCAAATATTATGTTATCATGACTTATCTTGCCTTCTAGGCATGTTTTTTAGTGGACCTTCCAAGGTCTAATAATATAATTGGGTGTCATTAGATTATTTAATCTTATCTTGGTTAATCTTATCTTGGCAACCAAACGAGCCCTAACTCATTCGTTTAGTCATTTTGTGTTCCAGTTGTTTCTCTTCTCACACTTGTTTTACTTGTATATAGGAGGATCCAGCATTCTTCCAACCCGAGAATGAGAACCAGAAGCCGTACGTGGCCATAATTAAGGTAACCACTTCTTTAAGCTTGAGCTCCTATGATGAATGAGAGCTTGGTTAAAGGATGTTTGCCCTAGTTGGTATAAGGAATAAATATCCTTTTCAATTTATTTAGACCTCTTGAAGGACATGTAATTCGAATTTTATGCTATGGTTTAATGCACAATGCTCATTTGGGAGTCCTGCATATAATTTTCCGTCTTTGTTGTGTTCGTCGGTGTAACAAGATATTAGGTGAGTGTTCGTTGTCCCTAAAAGGAAGTTTTGTTTTCATGTAAAGATGGAAGAATAGGTTTGAGTCAGCTTAACTAACTCCTCTCCCGAATTTAAATGACTGTACCTTTATCTTTGACATGCTACCCTAACACCAAAAGGTTCTTGGTGTAACCTAAAATGAGGTTTTCGTTGAAAGTCGTTTAGCTGTTAGTGTTCTTAATCTACTTTGCATTGGAAATTCATGCAATGAGGTTTTATTGTCTTTGAGGAAACTAGTACCAAATTGTTTATTTTATTTTATTTTTGTTGTGTACAGGACATTGTTCAAAACGGGCGAGGGGAATTGGTGATAACTGGGCAGTGGTTCTATCGTCCAGAGGAGGCAGTAAAAAAAGGGGGCGGAAATTGGGAGTTAATTGATACGAGGGAACTGTTCTATAGTTTCCACAGAGATGAAATAGCTGCAGAATCCATTTTCCACAAGTGCGTGGTTCACTTCATACCTCTTCACAAGCAGATTCCAGCTCGACAGCAACACCCAGGATTCTTTGTTCAAAAAGTATATGACACCGAGCAGCGGAAGCTCTTTAAGCTAACAGATAAAGATTACGAAGAGAGTAAACAACACGAGATCGATGTTCTTGTTCAAAAGACACTTGCACGCCTTGGAGACATTCCGGACCTTGTGCCTGAACACGCTGACGTGGATAATGAAGATCAACTGAAGAACAAGAAATCTCTTAGGAGAACAAACATCGCGCATTTGGATGTTTCTAAGGAGGAGGATGTACGCGGACTTGGCAAATCTCAACTACTTAAATTAGACACTCCGAGAAAAAACACTAGTTTATTAGAATATTATGCCGTTCTTTCAAAATTCGATCTGTTGACTGGGGAAACAAAGCGCGACAAGTGGTTGGATAAGCTTCTTGAATCTATCCATTTCATATGCACTCCTCTGGGTAGTAAGCAGACTGAAGGGGAGAAAAGGGATAGCCCAGATATTAAAAGTCCTGGTACTAAGGGTGATCGTCCAAATAACGGATCTCTTGATAAGACTCCCAATGTAAATGTTAGTATCTTCAGTTAGATGCTAATTTTTTATATATTTTTTTAGCAACTAATTCTATAATTCTTTGACGTGGTTCTTCTCGGTACATTTTATAGGATCTCGAATCGTTTGTCTGGCCTGATGGGGCTCTTTCTGCCATAGCTGCACTCGAGAAAGCAGCGTATGATGGTCTTTCTGCCGATTTTCATAAGTATCACCAAAAACTGCGGCAGTTATCGTTCAATCTTAAGGTAGTCACCGCTTGCTTTTTTTTTTTTTTTTGTAGATGTGCTAATGCAATTTCCTGATTCAATTTAGATCTCCTCTGGTTATATTTTTATGCTCCTAATCCATCTTATACATTCGATTCTTATTTTATTTTTTATTTTTTCCATTTGTGACTTTTTCTTCAAATTACTTATTCTTGGTAGAGCAATGCTGCATTAACACGTCGGCTTCTGAATGGGGAGTTGGAACCTGCACAGGTACTGAATATGTCGCCTGCCGAATTAAAGGTGTGGTTCCTTTTCCTTCTCTCTCTCTCTCTCTCTCTCTCTGGCCTTTTATTTATTTTTGCACTACATCAAATCCACGTGGTACACATATAAATATAATAGAAACTTGTCCACAGTCGTCGGTCCATATTATTCTTTTCTGCATGTTTGGCATTCCACTGATGGGGCAAATGCTATCTTCTGTAAACTTTTTTGTTCAATGTGAAAATGCGAGTTACGGGAAATTACTGTTCTCTCTCGTGTTTTCATTTGAGCTTTATCGAATTGTATCTGGACTTAGCTGCATGATTAAATCAAGCATTGATTATATTTTGTAGTACCTTCGAAGAAGTAAAACGTTCTTGAGATCGTGCATTTGATGTTAAAACTTGTTCCTTCAGATGAATTTTTTTTTTTCTGTAAAACGAGACGATTTGGCTCAATAAATCAGTAGTTGAATTCGCGACATTCATATAAATGCGAGAGTTGAAACCGAATTACTGTACTAGTTATAGACATCTTAAGCATGGAAAGTTCTTTGTAGTTCTTTGATTTGATTTTACGGAAAATTCTTATTAATTGATGTTTAACTTTTTGTTTCCCAGGAAGGCCTAACAGCAGAAGAAATAGCGAGCAGGGCGCCAGAGGAGTCTGGCCACTTGCAGGTTATTTAGGTTTTTTTTATTTCTTCGTTTAGTATATGGATATGATCTATTGTAGCTGCTCTTTAGTCTCTAATGTCAACAATTTCACGATTACCTTTTTTTTTTTTTTTTTTTGAGTTTGGTGTTCTTATGTTTGTCTTTGCTCTGCTCAGATGACTGATGCTCGTTGTAAAAGATGCATGGAGAAACAAGTCGGGTTGACAGATATTATTCAGACTGGACTTGGAGACCGCTATCAGGTTCGTAATTTAGCTTCTTCAATTCATACTGTGAAAAGCTGCGTTTCTATTGTGCCGAAATATCAAAATACATTGATTTGGCAAGCAATTTGACTTCCTAGCTTGGTGTTGACCAAATATCCCTTTAAACCGAAGTTCTGTAACATTTTGATCATTGCTCCCACTTTTATGAGATTAGAAATTTGATACCAATGTTTGGCCCACCTTTTGAACTATTTCCCCACCCTTCCCCAAAATAAATTTTCGTTTCTTAAGTTTTTCAAATTGGACTTCAAAATCTTTCGAGGAAAGAAAATCGAAACCTTCTCTGAGTTCCGACATGATTTTTTAGTGTTGTAGTAACAAATGTCCTTACTAAAAATACAAGCAAACATTACTTTATTTCCGAATCATTATTCCAAAACACCTTTAGTCATCTGCTACAGCGTAAAATGTCTCTACTCAAAATATCTTTTCTCATAATAAAATGGAAATATAGCCCCAAAAGAACGGCCAAACATTTAGGATTTATCGACTGTGAATGTGAATTTATTGATGCTTCTATTTTCCGATTACAGTTAAACCTCTATAAATTATCCCAGTCAGGACTAGCAATTTTTTTATTAATTTAGCGAAATATTATATTATCGAAATAATAATTTCGTATGTTTTTACCGAGTGGGGACCCAAAAAATTTATTATTTAAGCGAGGTTATTAATTTATCGAGGTTCTAATGTATTTCAGTTGGAGTGTGTTGCTTGTGGGAATACGTGGTATGCTTCTAGAGATGATGCTGCCACATTGACCATAGAAGGACGAACTTCTTCCAAAACTGTAGGTACTGCACCGTTGCCTACTGTTGTCAAATTTGAAGATCCCGATAAGAGTTTGACTAGTCCACGTGATAACCTGAAGAAGACAACGGAAGAATGTATACCGGTATTAGATAACCAGAAATCGTTTAACAAAACTGAGGAAAATCCTGTCAAGGCTAATGCTATCTAACACATACTCATTTTTATCTTCAACAATTGCTTATAATTTGGCGTTTCGTTTCGTTTCGTTTGTAAGTAGGTTTAATCTCCGTAGTTTGGCGATTGAACCAGTGTACGTACTTCTTCATCAACCTTGGTTTTAGAAGGGTTTGGAGGAAAATTTATTGTGTAGAGCTGTGATTACTTGATTGGTAGTAAGTTTGACTGGTTCGAATTCGGTTTCTAATCCAACTTAAATTATCAAGATTAGGTATCGGATAAGGAAGTTATTCATTAATCAATGAACACTGCCCACAAATTTGATATTTTAAGTTAGGGTAAATTCCACTTTCCCCCTTGTATTTGACTCGATATCAGTTTACCCCATTTTACACTGGATTGCATTGATTTGCCCCCCGGTATTTGAAAAATTGTCTCGATGTGGCCCTCGATGTTAGTTTTCAGACCTCTGACCTTAACAACGTTTGATTTAAGTCTGAAAATTACAAAAAAGACACCCCTCTAAGTTTAAATAATTATTTAAAAAATTAAAAATAAATTGTGGCTGGCGTCGTGGACCATGTTTTCTCGTTGTTTTCAATTTTTAATATACATATTTTTTATAATAATTATTTAAACTGGGAGATGTGGCGTTTTTGTAATTTTAGAGGGCTATAATTTTAGACTAGAAGATTATCAAAATCTCGTTCGAAGTCAAAACGGTATTAGCAAAATGCAAACGAAATTTAACATTTCAGCACTGCAAATTGCAATACATTGATCTTTGAAAATAAAGTTTTTGTGACGTTTAATAAAAATTAAATAAATAATTGCATTAGATTTGGATTAATAGAAGTGGTCAGACATAAGGATCTCCGCCTACCCTTTTAAAATGGGGAAGGCCGAGGGGCATTGACTTGTTAGATTTCATCCATTAATTACAATTTTGGAAGTTATTGCAATTAATACATACTTTTATTTTTCTCTTCTTCTTTTCCTAATTATTTCTATAAATAGTTTCAACTCTCAACTACCTTTTTAGTGTTTTTTAAAATACAAAATTACTATTTAAATGCTCGATAATAACAATTATAATAAGAAAAATATATTATAGTATCGTAATAAAATTTATTAGTGATATTTAAATTACATTATTCATAGAAATCTGATAGTGCAAACTGCAAAGTACAGATCACTCCGTAAAAGATTATATAAACTTAATTGTCATAAAATAAAATTAATCGTTAATGAAATGAAACAATTATAATTCAAAAATTTAGAGTTAAAAATAAAAAGAAAGAAACTTGTGAATATAATTAGAGACACATGGTTGAAAATAAGAGATTGATGTTGGTTTTGACTTGAATTTTGAACTTCATATAATTAGAAAATTAGTAGGACAAAAATAAATAATTACAAAATGTGATTGGTGTTCTTATGGTTACCTGATTTTTCTTTCGTTTATATATAAGATAAGATATATACACCAAATACAGTTTATATGTGTTAATTTATATATTTCACAGAGTTTATATGAATTCTCGCAAATATATTTCTCGAATTATTAATTTATCATGTCGTTACAAACTCGAGATCGAACAAATTTATTGTTTAAACAAAATTATTAGTTATCGAGTATTAACTTTTAAATTTCTTAAAAAAGAAAAAGAAAAAGAATATTAACTTTTTATACTATTGTTGAAATTCTATAGGAATAAATACTTGTGCAAGTTGGCAATTCATCCAATTGTTTATCCAACTTTATTATTATTATAATAATATTATCCAACTACCCATTTTTTTTGGTCATTACTTATTGTTGTATCATCAAACTTAATTGCAGCAGCCCCATTATCCATGTGTGGTGTAGACTTTATTATATAATTACCATAAAACAATATTTCCAAAAAAAATAAAAAAATTTAATAATATATAAATAATAAAAAAAAAAGAAAAAAAAAGCAGGTTCTTTTTCTTTAATCAAACTGTAGGTCCTTGTTCTTCCTTGACCATTCAGCCCAGATCTTCAATGGTTTTTTTCATCCTTTTCCCCAAATTTTCCAACTCATAAATAACCATCAAGATTCAATAATTCATTTACTCCCTCTCAACAGTTTATCCTTACATTTAATTACCATTGTATTTTTTTGCAATAGTTCTTTGGGGCAATTTGTCAAACAGGTGGTGGCCTTGATTTTCTTGCTTGTTTTCACAGTAAAACTACTTAGAAGTGTACTGTGTACAGATCCAATAAGGTTAGTTCTTTCTTTCCATACTTGAGGGGTCAACCATGGAATCTTTTTTATTATTCTTTGCTTCAATTGGTATTTTACTAAAAAAAAAGAGGTTTTTTTTGGTGTGTATATTTGTAGGTAGATAGATACAGAGGTTTCTCAGACCTCAACAATGGCAGGTGGAGACCAAGACCAGAAGAGGGTTTTGGAGAAATTAAGGAAACAGCTTGCTCTTGCAGTTAGGAGCATCCAATGGAGCTATGGAATCTTTTGGTCCATTTCTGCTAAAAAACATGGGTAAAGTTTCAAATTTTATTTCTTCAATAAAATTAATAAATAATTAAATATTGTCTATCTTTCTGCTTTCTTGCTAAATCTTGAAATTTGTAGAAGCTTTGAAGAATATTTCATTGTTCAATAATGGCGTGAAATCGCAAATTATTCGATTCTTGATGAAAATCCATCTGATTTTTGATGGGGCCAGTTGTAATTCGGCTTACACCGAAAAGTTTTGCTGTTAACATTTTTGGATATTTTCAAATCTGTATTATTAACCTATGTAGCACGGACACTTCAACTTTTTAGCGTTTTTGCGTTTCGGATACATTTCGTGTTGAACACTCGAAGATACCTGCCGAACACCTTATGGGCCACTTTGCAATTTCTAAAAAGTTAGAAACATTTTTGAATAGCAAATTTTTTAATTTTTTTGTTGCTTCCCTAATTATTTAGACGATCTAATGATCAATTGCAAATTGATAGTTGATAGTAAAATTTACTTTGAATACGTTTGTATAAAAATATATAAAAAAAGAATTTATATATAATAAAAACTTATATGTTTATATAGCATATTTATAAATATACCCCTATAATTTTAACAGTTACACGTTTCCCCAAGCTCCCGTATCCCCATTTTTGGAATATGCCGTTTTCCCGTGTCCGTTTCCTTCATAATGAAATCGATTTTTTTTTATTTATTCTGCATTTCCTTGTGGAATTTAACTAAGAACCTATTTTCTAACTTATACATATTGATGATTCTTTCTTTAGTGCGTTGGAATGGGGCGACGGTTACTATAACGGAGATATTAAAACAAGAAAAACAGTTCAAACTGTAGAAGTGGATACGGATCAACTCGGTTTACAACGAAGTGATCAACTCAGAGAACTTTACGAGTCTCTATCGTTAGGCGAAGTCATCCCTCAACCTAAAAGGCCTACAGCTGCTTTATCGCCCGAAGATCTAACCGATGCCGAGTGGTATTTCTTGGTTTGCATGTCGTTTGTATTCAATGTCGGACAAGGGTATATAATTTCTTCTCTCTTTCTCTCTCTCTCTCTCTCTCTCTCTCTCTATATATATATATATATATATATATATATATATATATATATATATATATATATATATATATATATTGAACCATTTTTTTCCTTTCGATTTTCGGGTTTTTAATAATAATCCGACGGTTGTTTGGGACGACTTTGAGTTTCGTGGCATGTCGAAAAATAAATAAATTACTATGTTGATTTTTTTTCGTTTAAAATTGTTGTAAGGTTGCCTGGAAAGACATTAGCGAAAAACGGGACAGTTTGGCTACGCAATGCACACCGTGCAGACACCAAAGTCTTTTCTCGTTCTTTGCTTGCAAAGGCGAGTTTTATCGAATTGTCTTTTTTTGTTTTTTAATATCTAATAGAAAGTGATTAATTAGAAAATTTCTGACTTATTTTTCGGTTTTCGTTTGTATATAATATTCGACTGGCTGGACTTGACGTTGCTTTATTACAGAGTGCATCAATCAAGGTTCGAACACCGTTTTTTTCTTAACCGAGAGAACCTTACTTTAATTGTTTGGTAGATATTTTACGAAAGAGTGTTTTGTTCACAATGTTTCGTTTCTTAACTTGCAGACAATAGTATGCTTTCCACATTTAGACGGTGTCGTTGAGCTAGGAACAACCGAACTAGTACGCAACTTGTCAAAAACTCATTCTCTACTTTCTTACTCTCGAAATATATACTGAAAAAACGAAAAATCAATCGTAATTTTTTTTTCTTTATTCCTAAAAGGTTCCGGAGGATCGGAATCTGGTTCAGCATGTAAAAACATCGTTCTTGGAGGGCCTTTCTGAAGATTTTCCCGATGTTCCGACGAATAGCACCGACCTCGACTGTGAAGTGCTCGATCATGCTATTACGGATTGTGGTGACGTGGAAGTTTCCTCCCCCGAGAGCAGTTCAGGTGATTTTGCTGACAATTTGCTGAGAGAGGAGTCGAATAATTTAATAGACGATATTGATAAGGAGGCTTCTCAAATGATGAGCTGGCAATTTAAGGATGAAGCCAACAGTAACAATGGCCCGAACAATTCCACAAGCTCCAGCGACTGTGTGTCTCAAACTCGTGAAAATCACGCGACTGCTGTCCCTTTTTCCGACGTAAAAATTCATGAGAATCAAGAATGCAATAATAGCAACAATAACAACAACAACAACAATAATAATAATAATAATGTTCATTACGAGAGTGTACTTTCGAGCTTATTGAAGAGTTCCAGCCAGTTGATGTTGGGCCCGCACGTGAGAAACGGGAATAAAGAATCAAGCTTTACTGGCTGGGATATAATATCGTGTTGCAAGACGCACACTACCACAGTGGGGGCCCCACAAAGTTTGCTGAAGAAAGTGCTGTTTGAGGTTGGTAAAATGCACGAGAGTTACCGGATTGAAAACGGTAAAAAAGATGAGAAAAACGAGGAGGAGATTTCTAAACCGGAAGTCGATGAAGTTGATAGAAATCATGTGTTGTCTGAGAGGAAGAGAAGAGAAAAAATAAACGAGAGGTTTATGATTCTTGGTTCTCTAGTCCCGTCTGGTGGCAAGGTAACTAAAATTCTCGAGCTTAATTGCGAAAATCCCCTTCGTGTGTGTGTGTGTGTGTGTTAATATATCATTTGAATTTGGGGTGGAAATTGGAACGGAATTCCGAATTCTTCCGATTTCGATCCAAGATTTCCCAATTTTAGAACAATATTTATCATTCTGTATTCCGAAAGTTCTGATCTCTGATTTTTTTTATCCGATTTCGATCCGATTTTAATTTCTGAAAATTTTGATTTTTTTTTTCCCAGAAGTTGCACTTATAATATCAATATCACAATGTATTTTGTATTATAGGTGACACAAAAATGGAGTTTCTGAATTCCGCCTATTATGATCAGAAAATTTCCGTTTTTGGAACATGTTATTTCATTCAAAAATTCCGAATATGTTTCCGAAAATTACACTTATAATATAAATATTATTATGTATTTGTATTATAGGTGAAAAAAAAAATTGAATTTCCGAATTCTGCCGATCGCGATCCAAGTATTTTCGATTTTGTAACAAGTTATATTTCATTCCAATTTCCAAAATTTCGATTTTTTTGGAACAAAATTGGAATTAGTTTTCCACTTGAAAAAAAAAAATTAGATTTTTTTCGAAAGTGCTAATTCCGAACCAAACCGTCCGATTTCCACCCCCTATTTTGAGTGAATACACGACTGTCGTGTGCCAAAAACTCCAAAAATGTTTTAGCCCGTTCCATAAATTTGCATTTTCTTGAAATTTTGCAGGCCGACAAAGTATCAATACTCGACCACACGATTGAATACTTGAGAGGTCTCGAGAGAAAAGTCGAAGAGCTCGAATCCAACAAAGAATCAACGGAGGTAGAATCCACCACACAAAGTAAATCCCACGATGCCATTGAAAGGACCTCCGATAATTACGGCCCCACCAAAACCGACAATAGCAACAAGAGGCCACTAACCAATAGCAAGAGGAAAGCTTGTGATTTGGACAAAACGGGACCCGCTAATCGAAGGGTTCGATTGAAAGACTCTTCGACTGACAGCGTAACGATCAAGATTTCCGACAAGGATGTGTTGATCGAGTTGAGGTGTATTTGGAGGGAATCTGTTTTGTCTGAAGTTATGGAAGCCGTAAATAAATTGAATCTGCATTCGCAAACTGTTCAATCTTCTAACAGCGACGGGATTTTTTCCATGTCTATAAAAGCCAAGGTTTGTGCTTTTATCCGGCGTTTCCATTTTCTTTTAATTGAGTTTAATAACTTATTTTTTGTAAAATATTTTTTTTGCAGTGTAAGGGAGTGAAAAGTGCATCACCAAGTGTGATGAGGCAAGCTCTTCAGAAAGTTATCCGAAAGTGTTGATGAAAAACGGTGCACACGAATAATTTAACGATGCATCGATTGTTTTGTGTGTAAACAACTGTATGATGTAACTTTATTATCATGTAATTTTGAAGGGATTTTTTTTTTTTTTTTTATTCCAATTAGTGATTATTTTGTTGAGTACGATGTTACTACGATGTTACATTCGGTGAATTTTATCGGGTGTGATTTTGTCATTCATATATCTTGATTACTATTCAATTTACACACACCCACATGTATGTGTGCTGACACGCATAAATTTATGGCGTAAAATCACCAAGCCAAAATCTAGTTAATTTGGTTCCTCTTCTGCTATGGATTTCTGTTGTGTCGGACCTAATTTCGGAAATTAGATTGCGTTCTTGTGATGTAGACATCAATTATAAACCAGACACAATTCGACGATCATCTAATGAAAGTTTCATAATAGTTTCGTACCAACATCCAATTTCCGTATATTGTTCGCATTTTTCTTCCGATTCTCGCTTGTACAAAAAGAAAAACTTTGTTAATACAACAAAATTATCGCTAGAAGCATCGATTTCATAATCAACTATACTAGATTGAACTTTTGCAAAATAATAACTAGAGTGAAAAAAACCGTACGTCTTGATTTTCCTTTCTTCGTATCAGAGGAGAAGAAACTAGGCTGCGTATGGTGGTGGTGCTCAAGTTCGGTCTGTCATTTCGTAGACGAAGACATCGTTTTCGGGATAAAAAAGATGCCGGAACCCTAATTTTGCTACTGCGACTTTGTAGTAAGAAGTAAGAACGATAATGACCGAAGAAGACAGACTATTGCAGAGGCGACTACGACGACGGACTATTGATAAGTAGTTTGTTTGTATAGTCGAACCTTTATCAATTAATACAGTTATGACTAGGAAAATTCTATTAATTTAGCGAATTATTAAATTATTGAGTTAATAATTTAACACGTTATCACCGAATTGAGACCGAAAGAAATTATTATTTAATCGAGATTATTAATTTATTGAGTTTTTAGTGTATACGAATCTTATCCGCTTTGACTTCCTTCCCACTGAATAATTATGTGTTTTTCACATTTATAATTCTATATTTAAGCTTAGGACTTAATTGTACTTTATATTCTTAATACTATTTTACAACTTGATATATGGACACGTGTTGCTCATTCAGTGGGTCAATGTAGGACCGTTAAATTAATGCAGTATAATTACTAGGGTAAATTCCATTTCCACCCCTTTACTTTGGCTCGATATCACTTTATCCCTTTTACTCTCGATTGCATCGGTTTAC